CTATGTGGAGGGAGAGAGATAAAGCTGTGGTGGAAAGATACTCCCCGGCTCAGCTAAGAGGATTTGCATGACTATTTTGTGAGTGAGGTGGGTTTAATCACCTCATCCTTACCAAGTACATGGGTTAGAAACCAGGTCATGGGGTGCGAGAGCTTGATTCATCCTCACGTGAATAAACAAGGTGAAGACCTGGACCAAAATGATGTATGTAAAAGAATAACATATAGCTAAGAGAAAAACGTAACAGCTCTTTTAAATATTTCTTCCTCTCCATCCTGGTCCCTGTTTCAAGTTGATTGCTTGACGTTTTGGTGGGTTTTTCTAATTAAAAATCAAGCAATTTGTATTTCCTGGCGTTCAGCTTTCCCCATCTCACTCCACAGCCCCTTTTCCCCCTGAGAAAACAGATTTATCCTGCCTCTTTCCCAGCACAACCCAGCCGGGAATCTCCAGGGAGCCCCAAGGACCGTGGCGGTGTCTTTCCCCCCATCACACCTCTGACAGAAGATGCTGCTGCCAGCAGCTCCGCTTGGGGATACAACATTTAAATAAGTCAGCCAGGATTCCGGCACACTCCTACGGGCTCTCGACACGCAGCTGACGTGTTCCGGGATAGGAGCAGTTCCCCAGAGCAGCACCCAAGGCTGGCACAGCTGACTGATAGAAAACCGACGAAAATGGGAGCAGCTTCACCCATCCAGGGTGTGCCCCGGTTTATTTTTAAGAAGGTGACCTCAGTGCAGCCACGTTCTGTCATCCAATGTGCTTACGGTGCCGCTCTGATCTCGGAAAGTCTTCCAAAGGGATTGTAAGTTAAAAATAAATGGGAGAGAGGCAAAGGAAAGCCTCTTGGTGACTCACATATTCAAGTCCTGCTGTGAGGAAAAAAAAAAAAATACAGATACTCAGCTTTTCCTGCGAATGAGCCGGCTTCTGGGTAGTGCACCACTCGGGGAAGTTTATGGGAAGCTGGATCATGGCGTTGCTGGAAGAGTATTTGTTCCTGCAGCTTTATGGAAGGGCATCTTGGTTTATAAGACGCTGGACTGTCCTTGTCTGTCCGAAACCCCGGGGATTTATTCATACAAAAGGACATAATGAGCCCTTTCTGCGAAGGGTTACGGCTCTTCCCCTCGCTCATTCTCCCGGGCACAGCAGCGAATTGTTCAGCCCAGAGACACAAACCCGGCGTGTCCCGCGGCGGCTGCTCCGAAGGCACAGGGACAAGTTATTTTTAAACCAAACGCTGGGCTGAAACCAAATCAGACAGCAAACATCTTCCTCGAACGAGCGTGACTGACTTCTCTCATTTCCCATAAACGAATCCAGCTGGCAACATGGAGGTTCAAATACCCAAACTTGATTTTTTTTTTTTTCCCCCTTCAAAGCACTTTTCTTATCAGTGCTTATTCCAAACCGAAAAAAAGCCTTTTTTTTTTTTCTTTTAAAAAAGGCATTTTATTTTATTTATTTTTAATAAAAGCTGTTATTTTACCTTCTAGCGCACCTGGATGATGCACCAACCCTGGGAGGGGTTGGAGGCGCATTTTTGGGAGCTGTGTCCCATGCAGGTTGTCTTCTAAAGATGCAGTGCCTCACCGGGAAGGCATCAGCCTGCGGGCGGGGAGCGTCCTGCCCGTCCGTAAGGAGCTTACGTGCGTCCCTGCCCGGAATAGCAGCTAGCACATGAGCAGAGGTTATTACGCTCCTAATCAGATTGTAGCAGCTGGATGAACACTTATAACCTTCTAAAGACAGTTGTTTAGTCGTAAAGAGAAGGAGGGTGCGTGCAGCCTCCAGTATTTTCTATTTCAGTTGCCTCAGCCTGCAGAAGAAAAATTCATGTTAAATTGATTTGGCTAATCTGCTTCCAAGGATCTAGTTTTGTCTTGGAAACACAGCAAGAGAAAGACTTGCCTTATTGTTTTCTCCTCCCCAAACCACCTTTCAGGAGTCCCTCACTGGACCCTCCCACCAGCAGGCAGATGCTGGCAGGATCCCGTTACCTGAGCCACATCTGCCCGTAGATCACGTTGCAAAAAGACATCACTGGTGAGGAAACCCCGTCAGCGCTGGGGACAGACTCCTCCTCAGCATCACGGCTGCAGTGAGTCTTGTTTACTGAAGAACAGTCATAAACTGATTTATTTTTTCCATGCCAGCTTCGCACTCCTTGGCTTGGCAACAGAGCTGCATCTGGCCAAAAAGAAAACCCCTCCTGGAAGCAGCACGAGATGTGGAAAGTTTGGGCTGGTTGTTTTTCCCCACTTGACGGTTGCTCTCCTGGCACGTTGTTTGTGCCCTCACATGCCTCCGGGATTAGGGACTTGCTGGGACTTCTCCTCCCCACCATCGCACGTTGTGTAACCCATGATGTTTAGAATGTGCGTATTTAATGCCCTGCTCCTGCCAGTTTTGCCTTCTGGCCTGCTTCCATTCACAGCAAAAGGCTAAAAATTTATATAGTACTTTATAATTTTATTCTTTTTTTTTTTTTACAGGAAAACTTATGGTTGCCAAGACCAAAGGAGAAATGCCATCCGTGAGCTACGTAATCCCGCAGTTTAATACAGTAGAATGTTTCAGGCAAAGATTTCTATGCAGCACATGGAAAAATCCTTCTTTTAAGGGTCACACATCCTAAAAAAAAACCAGCTAGAATTGCCTAAAAATGAGCCAAAAATGACATTTTGTTTCTCTCAGAGGAGACCTGCCCTTCCCGGGGTCAGCAGGGCCGTGAGCCCTGGTGTAGCTTTACCCCGTGCATGCAGTGAAGCCCTCGCCACCAAAGAAAATGCCCTAATAAGGCTTCAATTTTTTAATTACGCACTTGACATGGGAAAATTACAGCATGACTGAGCAACATTTTTCCTTTTTGACGGGAACCATGTGCTCACAGCGATTCCCTTCCCTGCACTCCTGTGTATTCCCCAAATCAGATTTTCTCTGCTCTCATCCAGGCAGGGGCAGAATATTACCAAGACTTCTGGTCTCCAAGAAAAATCCGAAGTAGAGCGTTTTAACTTCAAAAAGACTATTCTGTGGTGAGACTGGAAAATAAACGAAGTTCTGCAAAATGCCTTTCGTTAACCCTGCAAACACAGCACTTATTTCCATCTATTTTTTGCTTTTGGAGAGTTTGAAGAGGTTGCCTGATGAGCTAAGTGTGATTTGAGATGGGGTGAGCTTGAGCCCAGAATTTTTGCTGGCTCCAGGGAGTGACATTGGGATGAGGACAGGCTGTGGGACCAAACCTCCAAACCCCACCAAATTACTGCAAAACTCCAGTAAATCTCCCGCAAACTATTTTAATGCCTTCCCCTGACTGTGGCTAATTCTCTAGATAAGTCTAGAGCTACCTGAATAAAAGTGTTTTGCATGAATTAAAGCAAAAAAAAAAAAAAAAAAATCAGTGAGAAGAAATGAACCTGGATCCTTTCCCAGTTTATCATTAAACCAAAGTCAGCTTTTTCCATTTGTGACAAGAAAAACCCATCTCATTAATGCTTTCTAACCTGGCACGAGCCCCCGTTGCACTTAACGTCCCATTACTCTCTCTGTCTCCCATCACTGCCTGAGCTGCAGCTGAAGGAGGGCCAAACCTCCAGTGGAGATCCATGCAGCCCTTGGCTTGCGGCCAGGGAACAATTTTACCTTAAAATGCTAAAGAAACCACGTGGCACGCGGCTCCATTAAGTAGATGCTGCGGAGATACTGGCTGGTGTGGTTTTAGCACTTCTAACTTCCACAATAGATTAAAAATGAATACTCAGTCGGCTGCTCCTACTCGATTTGCAGCTGGGATCTGAGAGGGTTGCTATATTTCCCCGGACAAGAGCAGAACTTCTTCTGAAATACATTATTACAGAAAAAAATCCTGATTTTTTGGAGGCCACAGACGACTTCCTCCCAACCACCCCATTCCCAGTGCTTGCTTTTCCTGGCTTTGGATTTCAGATAGCGCACTGAAGAGCATTTAAACCAAGGCCAGAGAACCAGGAGCCATCTGCGTGTTCACACGAGGAATAAATATTGTAGGAGACAGCTTCAGCAGGCTCGCTGACCTTAATCCTGCCCCCGGTATTTAATTGCCTCCTCCAGAAATTAACATGCACATCTCCCCGGTGAAGCCAAAGCACCCAGCACAACTCATTTCCCTGCCAGACAGAAATGATGATTTTTTAATTTTTTTTTTCCTTTTTGACATAATCCAGCCAGATGGATAAACAAGTGTATGGAGCACTGGGGTGGAAATCCTCTTTAGAGCCAGCTGTGCTCTGTGGTCCAGGGGTGGGAGCATCACCGGGACGACCATACCTGGCCTGACTGCTTCAGGCAGCAAAACCTCGGGAGGATTTGGGCTGTGTCATGTGGCTGTGCTGAAATCAGTCTCAGTGCAATTAGTTTCAAGATTCATTTGCATCTCTCAACCACCATGTAAGCATCCCAGGTTGCTCTGGACCCAACCTAACCCTTAAGGATGGGGACAACTCCTTGTCTTTAGGTCTCGGTAGCCGCACGTCCCCTCACTCTCTGCGGAAGGGTGCTGTAAGAGCCCCAGCTTGCCATGAGCATCCCCCGAAATTTTTAATTGACCGCTGTGGCATTTCCTCCCATCACATATTCGGGTACCTCAACACAAAGTTGAGGTGCAAGCTTGATTTTTACTCCTTCAGAGCAATACAGACCTGGAAGACAGATTCATCCTTTTCCCTGTAGGTCTGAGTCTGTTTTATTTTCTCTCCATCAGCGCATAGAGCATCTCTCCGTTGCGCAGGACAAAGGATTTGGGGCTGTAGCCGGCAAGTGTTAAAACCATCCTTTCCTCTACCCAGAGCCCCGATGCCAAGATTTCCAAAGCGGCCCCAACCCCCGCCGATCCCATCAATATCTCTCGAATAAAACCATCCAAGTGCCGCGGACACTGCCTCCCGCGGCCCCACCCGCCGGAGGGATGCTGCGGGGTGAAGCCGGGCTCTGCGGTGCTCCCCGGGGAGGGGGGGCCGGGCTGCGCAGGACCCAGCTCCTCCCCCGTGCTATTTATTCCTCCCCGGAGCTCCGCGGCCGAGGCTGAACCACCCCGAACTGGGCAGGCGGCGGGCTGCTGGACGGTGAGTGCTGGGGCAAACGGGGCGTGGGGGCTCGGGGTGGGGCGAATCCGGAGGCGAGGGGGCTTTTAACTGTGAGCAGCACCACAGGGGATGGGGGGCTGCCTCTTCTCCCCGCCATTGCCACCTAAAAATAGACATCGCCAGCTCCGCGGGGCAGCGTCCTCCTGGAAAGACAGAGCTCTCCTTCTCATGCTGCTTGTTTATTCAGAGCTGATGCTGGTGGGAAATTTCTTCCCCCCCCCTCCGAGCTACCTGGAGGGTTTTGTCCTTTCACGCAGCTCCCGGCTGTGCAGAACTGCGCTCCCCCTTTATTTGGGGGATTAAAAAAATAATAATAAAATGTGGGGAGATTTCTAAAAACTAGGGGGGGATATTTTCAGCAAGCAAACCGCCAGCCTGCAGCCCCCTTCCCCATAGCCCCAGCCCTGATTTTTCACCTGTCATGAGCCAGGAGCTTCCCAGCATTGCCGGGGAGGAGGGGGGGTGTCTTGACACCCCCATCCACACGCATCTTCCCACGCTCCTCACCGCATCGCTCCTCCACCTTCCTCTTCCCCAGCTCCCCTCATTTCTTCTCTCCTCCTGGACACCTTAACGAGGTCATTTCCACGGTTATTTTGACATCAGGGTGTTGGTTTTCCTCTCCAAACCCGAACCTGCCTTCGTGCCAGCCCTGCGCACGTAACTGCCGCTTGCGATTGCATCCTCCATTTTCCGCTCCCTCCTCTGCCCCGAAGGAGACACGGGTTTTCTCGGGTTCTCGGACACAAGCGTGGATATAAATCGCTCCGATATAAATCACCCGAATTAATTTCTCATCGCTTATGTTCGCCCACAAAGGGGGAAGATGGGGGAGGAAGGTTAAAAAGAGTCGGGGGAAAAAAAATACCTGCAAAGCCATGGGATAATATAATAAAATTAATAATAATATTACGGCCACACTGTAAATGCTGTTTCCAGGCAGAGGGAAGGCAGTTCCCACCCCAGGGAAGCAGCTCCCTGTCCCCATGGCGTGCAGGCGGTTTGGGCCAGCGACCGCCTTTATCTGGGGTGAAGCTCAGCTGCCCAAGGACCTCGGCAATTAGCAGCACGAACGCAAACGAGCCTTTGCTCTGTTTATCAGAGCTGGCCTCTCGGAAGGCAATTAGAGGAACAGGTTGGTGCTGCCAGGCTGGAATATCCTCCGGGCCTTTGCCATAACCTGTTTTCATCCAGGGGTTGATTTCCTCCCCCCCTTGCAACTCACTCTGGGGAGTCTCACACCTTAAAAAAAAAAGATAATAATTACCAATTTGCTGCTTTCCCCCTCTCCCCCCCGCTTTATTTTGGGTTTTTTTTGAGTGCCTAAGGAGCATTCACCCATCTGAGTTTTTGTCATGTCTTCCAGCTATTTTTAACCCCCCTGATCTCATTCTCGCTCCCTCCCAGCGGGTGGGTGCTGCGAGGCGAGTCAGGCAGCAAACCCGCTCCACAGCAGACTGCTCGCACCCGATTTTTCAACAAGACTGTGCCGAGCGGGCAGCCGGAGCCTGGCTTTCCCCCCCTCACAGAGGACAGGCTCTCACATCTTCCCTGCTCTTTTAACTCAGTTTCTTGATAACGATCCCAGCCAAACCACTGACATTAAAAGACCTTAATTCAATCATTTCCATCAGACCAGATGTTTTGGGGGACAAAGGAGAGAAAGAGCATCATCACCTGAACCCGAGGAGAGTTTGCTTTTCATGGGCCATAAAATCATGGCTAATGTGCAACAGAAGAACCCCTGGCTTAAACAGAGGCTGGTTCTGCCTGTTGCGCTTGATGAGGTCGATATCGTACAGGAGACCATCGTCTCTTAGCTGCATTAAACCTGAACTCGGGGTTGAGTGGTGACTCCTGAGGAAGCTGGGCCATTAGTTGCTGCAAAAAATCCCACTCAGGACCCAAACCTTAATTGTTTCTTGCTGTAATATGAGCCAGAAAGTGCATCTGAAGCATCCAGGCTTGCTGCGAAATGCCTACCCACGCATTGCTGGGAATGCTTTGCCCTCCCTCCCCAGCATCCTGGCATGCCCAGGGGATTTTTGGGGATAGCTCAGCCCTGGGCAGGACAGAAAAAACCCTTTGATATTGCTGGACTTGCATATTAAACACAAGGGTAACAGTAATTCATAAGCACAAGCTAACAGTAATTCAGTGCTCCTTGGCATTGTGGGGAGGCATCCAAAGGGATTTTGCAGCTTGGGTGGCATTTTCCAAAGGTCTTTCCAGAGGATTTGCAGACCTGGTGTGCATTACGCAGGCTGGATTATACTATACAGAGGGAGAGAAATGGGTCGTTAAAATGGGATTTCACCCTTGCCAGCCCACCAGCTAACAGAGGAGACGCCTGGCACGCCCCTGGGATGCCAGCAGCAGATATTTGCCAACACATTAAGCTAGAAACGTGCTGTTCCTCAGTTCGGGTCTGTTGCACGTAAACAGGGAATTGGGCAAAACATGCTGAATCTCGTTCTTTGGGGAAAAAAAACCAACCTCCAGCTCAAGCCTGGGCGCTGCCCTCCTCGCAGCCGTGGGGACTCAAAAGCTTTGAGACTGGGATGAATCTTCACAGCCGTCGGCCCCTGCACAGCAGAAACCTCATTTCTATCATCTGATGGGAGAGAGCAGGTTTGATAAGGGGATTTCTACCTCCCAAGCAAGGGAAGCGTTTTCCTCCCCACATTTCTTCCACTACTTAAAGGTGCCGTTGCTAGCAGAAGACCTGCTGGGAAGGCGGGGGAATATATACATATATAAAAATATAAATATATATGTAAAATATGTAAAAATATATATATAAAATATATTATTGGGGAGAATAAATATGCGTTTAAGTCCAAAGCTGTTCATTCTGCAGCTGGATTAGAAGGGGTGTTACGTATTTCATAGGATGCACGAGTAGGGGAGCCCAGGGCCCGTGGTGCTCGCAGCGGGGCGGCTGTGGGGGCTGCAGGGTCTCTGCCTCCTGCCCGTAACCTGCCTGTCCTTGTGTCCCGCAGCCATGGCCAGGCTCCTCGTCTCCTGCTGCCTGGTGGCCCTGCTCCTCGGCGCCTGGACCGACGTCGCCTTCTCCAAGAAGAGCAAAGGCAAACCCAGCGGAGGCGGCTGGGGCACAGGGAGCCACCGCCAGCCCAGCTACCCCCGCCAGCCCGGCTACCCCCAAAATCCCAGCTACCCCCACAACCCGGGCTACCCCCACAACCCAAGCTACCCCCACAATCCTGGCTACCCCCACAACCCGGGGTACCCCCACAACCCTGGCTACCCCCACAACCCGGGGTGGGGACAGGGTTACAACCCATCCAGCGGAGGAACCTACCACAACCAAAAGCCCTGGAAACCCCCCAAATCCAAGACCAATTTCAAGCACATGGCCGGGGCGGCGGCGGCCGGTGCCGTGGTGGGAGGTTTGGGGGGCTACGCCGTAGGACGCGTCATGTCAGGGATGCACTATCGCTTCGACAGCCCCGACGAGTACCGCTGGTGGAACGAAAATTCGGCGCGTTACCCCAACCAGGTTTACTACCGGGATTACAGCAGCCCCGTCTCGCAGGACACCTTTGTCGCCGACTGCTTTAACATCACGGTGACCGAATACAACATCGGGCCTGCTGCCAAGAAAAACGCCTCGGAGTCTGCTCCGGCGGTGAACCAAACGGAGACGGAGCTGGAGACCAAGGTGGTGACGAAGGTGATCCGGGAGATGTGTGTCCAGCAGTACCGTGAGTACCGCCTGGCCTCCGGCATCCGGCTGCATCTCGCTGACGCCTCCCTGGCCGCCCTCCTCCTCCTCACCCTCTTCATCATGCACTGATGTGGCCCTGGATCCCACAGCTTCAAGATATCCCCATGGGGACTCCCCAAAACCCCCCCGTTCTTGCTTACGGTCGTCTTTGGTGAAGAGCCCTTGGGGCGCACGGGCACTGACGCTCCCCATCACCTCCCCGGAGGCTCCAGTTTAGGCAACTGGATGAAAATTTCCTTCTCCACCCCAAACGCATCCCTGGCGTGGCAGGACAGTGATGGAGCTGGATGCTCAAAAAATTGGCCTTCACCATGTCCTCCTCCTCGGGGCTGCCCCGAGAGGGACGGGGCAGAGAGGAGCTCACCCGGTCCTTGGTATCCCTGCAAGAACGTTTCTGAAAATCCTCTTTGCTAACAGGAAGGGTTTTACCTAATCTCCTTAGTCCCACCGCCACCAACACCCCTTCCCACTGGGCACGCTGCGGCGTTGCACCCGAGCACCCGTTGACCCCACAGGGGTTTGGGGAGGGTCAGATATGGGTTCCTCAAGCCACAAGCTGTCAGGTTGCAATTTTAACCCTTTAATCTTAAAAAAAAAAACCCACCCTTCCTGGTGTACATATGGATCTCCCCGCTCCGCACCTTGCATGCTGCAAATACCTCCTGCAGCAACACACAAAAATAAAGAGATTTCCCCCGCCGCAGCAAGGCTGAAGCCCTGGCCGGGTTTCAGTTGACCCCCGCGCCACTTTGCTTTCGGTTGAGCCTAGCTGTCTTTCTTGGCCTGTCTAAAGGGAAAAACTGCTGCTGAATGCCCCCCAAACCCCCAAAGCAGTAACGCTTGCTGTGTTACAGCCTGAGAAAAAGCTATTTTGGATGGGCTATAGGTGACAAGTCACGCTCACACTTCAGCGCCACGACCTAAGGGATGTTAAAATACAGCAAAAAAAAAAAAAAGGATGCTCGGAGGGGTCAAACACGTAGCAAGAGACTTAAATCCGCTGAGCCGCACGGTTATAGCAAACAGCATCAGGAAAACCAAGCCTGAGGGATGGGAGATGCTTAAAAAAAAACCCCACCTTTTGCAAGTAATTTGTGGAAGCGGCGGGTGAAATTCTTGCTTCTTGTGTTTGGGTCGATGCTGGGTTGTGTATAACCTGTAGCAGCCGTAAAGTTGCGCTTGTCGAACTGGTCACCCTGAGTTATATTTAATATCTCTCGTGGTTTTTTTGGTTTTCTTTTTTTTTGCAAGGCACTGAATAACACCGTCCTAAACGATTTTTTTGCATCGGTGTAAGCTAAGTGAAGATATATAGATATATATATAGATATATATATTAAAAAAAAAAAAAAAAAAAATCAGTGAGAAGAAATGAACCTGGATCCTTTCCCAGTTTATCATTAAACCAAAGTCAGCTTTTTCCATTTGTGACAAGAAAAACCCATCTCATTAATGCTTTCTAACCTGGCACGAGCCCCCGTTGCACTTAACGTCCCATTACTCTCTCTGTCTCCCATCACTGCCTGAGCTGCAGCTGAAGGAGGGCCAAACCTCCAGTGGAGATCCATGCAGCCCTTGGCTTGCGGCCAGGGAACAATTTTACCTTAAAATGCTAAAGAAACCACGTGGCACGCGGCTCCATTAAGTAGATGCTGCGGAGATACTGGCTGGTGTGGTTTTAGCACTTCTAACTTCCACAATAGATTAAAAATGAATACTCAGTCGGCTGCTCCTACTCGATTTGCAGCTGGGATCTGAGAGGGTTGCTATATTTCCCCGGACAAGAGCAGAACTTCTTCTGAAATA